ATTGATTATTCAAAGGGAGTAAGAGGAAAAGGAGACACACACCCACACCAAGTAAATGTAAGGCCAGTGCAGAATTGGTCTTGATATAATTTGAAAACCTGATAATTTTCAAAGTTTGTGTTTGTTCAGATAATTGATAACAGAAAGGAAGGCTACATACTGCCTTTTCTGTTCTTCCCATATCTATATAGAGATTATAGAGTCAAGATCCAGGGAATTCACAGTGTCTCTTTTGTTTCTGTTTTCAAGTACATGATAAATATTGTCCATTGTCCTGACTTCACCCGGTTCCCAAGGGTTTGTGACAGGCACCAGATGCTCAGGTTTGAACAGCATTGTTATTGTCTCATTCTTGCCAGTTTTTATCAGAACCAGAACAGCTAACCAGTGCTGCATTCCTTAACACCACCTACCCCAGTACACTCACATCCAGGATCACGACTTGAATTTCAAAAATTCCTTTGAATCTGAACTGCTCATCTTCCTACACACCTGTTCTTCATCTGTGGTAGTCAGCATAATGCCCCCCCCCCCCCCCGCAAAAAAAAATGAAAGTACATGCCCTAATTCCTAAAACCTGTTAGGTTACACAGCAAAGGCAAATTAAGGGCGTAAATGGAATTAAGGTTGCTTATCTACCGGTCTTAAGGAGAGCATCCTGGGTTATCAAGGTGTGCCCAATTTAAACACAAGGATCCTTAAAATTGAAAGAGAGCAGCGGAAAAGAGAACTAGAGAAATGGCTGCATGAGAGGACTTGGCTTGGTGTTGCCAGCTTTGTAGATGGAGGAAGGGACCTTGAGCCAAGGAAAGCAGCCTACTTCTAGGAGTTGGAGAAGGAAACCGATCTTCTCCGAGAGCCTCCAGAAGGAACTGCCTGCCGGCACCGTGATTTCAGCTCAGTGAGACCCAGGCCAGACTTAGAGTCTACAGAAATGTAAGATCATAAATTTGTGTTTGTTTTTCATTTTGAGCCACTAAATTTGTGGTAATTTGTTACAGAAGCAATAGGAAACCAATGGCATTCTCCTACTCCAGTATCTCAGTGCCCCTTACTCACCACTGCTCTAGCTACAGCTGCCCTGCTTGCATGTCATAAACCCCACAGGTGGCCATTACCACAGAGTATTTGCTTACTCCTTATATGCTCTGTCACCCTGGTGTTGAGACTCCATCCTTGGGTGAACCCTTATTGCTTCATTTAGTATTCACATTGAAACCTTATCTTTGCCTTAGTAACTCAAATTTTGCAACTCCTTAACCTCCCCACCCCCATCCTGTCTTTACCCCGTTATATCTTAGCAAATGACTTATCCCAACTTTACTGTTAGGGTTAACACCATCTGTCTTCAGGTCTCTCTGCTTTTGACCTCAGGAACTCTGTGTATCCAATTCCAAGTTTCTATGTCTTATCCTCTATGCAGCATTTGACAACATGAATACATCTTTAACTTTAACTTTTTTTCCCACAGCCTCTGTAACATTACATTCATTTTCCTATCAATGTTACCACCACCCCCACCTCCCAGCCAGTTTTTCACTCATATATAAGCTTTCCTTAGGTTCTGTTCTCAAATCTCAGATCTTAAAATGTATTCCTTTGGCAGTTGTAACCTAATCTAAAACTTCACAGATCACCACTGCAAAGGATTCCTTCACGTCCAGCCTTCACGCCTCTCCAGGCCCTGGACGTACACCTGAACATCCATTTCTTTTAACCCAGTGCACCAAGAGAAAGGAGTCTTCTTTCAGTAAACTTGTATCTAAGACTCAGATGAAGGAGCCAAGAACCTTATGTTCCAGACATTCTTGGCCCTCTTCTGGGGTAGGAAGGTAGGAGGCAGGATTTGTGGGGCAGGGCACCAGATCACCTGGGTAAAAGTCAACACAGGTCTCTCCATTTCAGCCCCTACCTCCAGGATTTATGAGAAATGAAACAGGCTAGCTGAAGGGCCTATATTTAATTCCTCCAGGGTATTTGTCATTTTCGTAACAGTTACTTCCTTATTGGACTGGGAAAAACTGGCTCTGAAGACTTCAGAGGTGAGGCAAGTAGGAGGTTCAGTTGCTTTGCTTTGAATGGCTTCTGAGGAACACTGGGCCAACTTTCCCCTCTGCCAGTAGATACTTTACATCATTTGCTTCATGTTCCCATAAGCAGAGGGGAGGGTTAGAATTTGAACAGGTATAAAGAGTCTGAGAAGGCCAGAAGCTGGAAGTGGAGGTTTTGGCATCATTGAGAGGTAGTTTCACCCTGGGGCAGTCATGGGTCCTCTAGTCCCATCCCGGGGGACGGGACGGTCATAGGTCCTCGTCTGAAACAGTAGACCTCCATCCTGAAGTGCTGCAGAGTAGCACTTCCCCGAGGCAGCTTGGATCTCCCCTCAGCCCTCTCCAGCATTCTGTGGGCTGTGTGCTGCAGAATGCGGCTAGGTAAGTTCTATAGAACTTCACTTATTGAGACATGTAGTTGGCTCTCTTTAAAATTTACTGCAAAACAAATACTTAGGAAACAGTATGAAACCTTACCTTGTGCTATAATGATGTGAAGACAAATTAGGTCCTTAGAATGTGCCAATTACTTTTCTGCTTTTTATATTGAGTCAGCTGTAAAATACAGTGCTTTGTTTGTGGCTTCAATAGGTTCATATGATTTTCCCAGTGTGATGTTCTTTCAGTGAAAATGTTGCCCACAATCAAACTTGTCAGGCTCATTGACCTATATTGGGAATTCATTCAAGCATATACACCGGGTATCATATTAAGCACCAGACATTCAAAGATGGGTACATCATGGTCCTTACCTCAAGAATTTCAAAATCTTAGACTCTGGAGGGAAGACTTTTTCTTTTAGTTGTACAACCATGTTTGACATTTTTCTGGCCTACTCACCTCTGCCAAAAGAAAGTAAATTTTGTCCTAATTCAGGTATACATAGTTAAGCTTATTCTGAAGAGTTCAGCTAGCACCTTTTTTGTTGTTGTTGTTTGTTGGTTGGTTGGTTTTTGCAGCTGAGCAATATGGAAACTCATGATTTGGTGGGTTATAACAGTCCTCCCATTGGGACCAGAGATAATTGTGCACAGCTTATGGAAGGGTGTGTACCTGAAGCTGCCACAGGTGGGAGAAAGCTTAGGCTCTAGAAATAGGAAGCACATACAAAAGGATGTGAAGAGACTGCTGTGAAAGCAAGAGGATGGAAAGTGACAGTTGTTTATGGTAACAGAGGGGCAGGAATGTGGGACAAAGAGAATGGAGCTGAGATATTAAAAGAAGTGAGCACCATTTAGATCATAAGGTTTGTAAAATACTATGATTGCGTTTTTAAATAGGCTGTAGAATTTCCTGATCTACAGAATCTGGAGATCTAGAAATCTAAAAAACAGTCAGTAGTCTCATCTTCCTGAAGTCATTTAGATGTAGCCACCTGAAAGTAGGGAGGTCATTTTTTATCGTCTAGAGCAGCCGTCCCCAAACTTTCTGGTACCAAGGACCGGTGCTCCTATGAGAATCTAATACCTGATGTTCTGAGGTGGAGCTGAGGCAGTGATGCTAGCACTGGAGAGTGGCTGCAAATACAGATGAAGCTTCACTCATGCTGGCCCACTGCTCACCTCCAGCTGTGCAGCCTGGTTCTTAATGGGCCTCAGATGGGTATGACAAATACCGGTTTGGGACCCCTGGCCTACAGGGATTTTCAGAGTCTCTTTAGTTTTCTGAATGGATCTGATCGAACATGCAAATGACTAATAAAGGACACTAATGGAAACATCTATTACTTTTTCCCCTTAGTTTTTAATTTTAAATAATAAAGACATATTTAAAAGGGAGATAAATTCCATGTGAATTAACTATTTTTATGTTTCCGTTACCTTCCTGTTCTCAGCCAGTACGTCTCTATTTGTTACATAGATGAAATGATAACACTGATCTATGTGTGGGGCATAGGGGGTGGGGAAGTTGTAGGATCTCAGTTTAGGGCCCTGAGTTAATCGTTCACACTTCTCAGTTCTTGATATGTCACCAATGGTCAAAATGGGCTCCTTGTTAGTTATTCATTAATTCCTTTGTGTCCTCATCCCCACTTTCACGTCTTTCCCCACTCCACACCATTCTATTGTATTGAGTGTGTATAGGCTTTTATTTGGATGTGACCTTGAATGATGTGTGTAGTTTTGTGTGCATCTACTTTAAATATACAATAATCCATATTTCTGATTTTTGCCATGATAATAGGTGTAAAGTTATACCTTAATTTGTATTTTTCTGATCACATACGAGTTAGAGTATCTTTTCATAGTTAATTCAATTTTATATACTTTCTGTCACTTGAATTTTTATCCAATGTAATATGTCTCTCTGGTTTTCAATATCTTGGTTGATTATATTTAGATGTATTTAACCATAAAAATTAGATTCAGTCATATGCAGCTGCCAAATTATTAAGATGACCAGTTTTGACCTATAAAACAGAAAAATGAATGGTGCAACTTAAGAGATTGTTGGACATATATATATTTCCAAATTTTCATTATTATAAGTAATATTGCAGTAACTATATGCTGTAATATATAGCATTGTTCTGCTTTTGAAATATTCCTTAGTATAAATTCCTAAGGATTACTGACAAAGAATGAACATTTTTATGGTATTACATTTTGACAAATCTCTTTCTAAAAGAGGTGTACTGATTTACATTATACATCATTCATATGACTGTACTAGCTTTAGACATTATCATTTAAACTATTTCTTTAATAACTATAAAACATTTCCTCACCGTTATTTGTACTATTTGATTATAGTTATTAATTATTTATTCAAGTGTTCATTGATGAATAGTGTGTTTTTTTAGGAGTATTGTCTATCTATGCCCTTGGTCCATTCTTCTATTAGTGTCTTTTTTTAGTCAGTTTGACAATGGGTTTTAATATATGGTAGAATACCCTATCCTCAACTCCTGAAAATGAAATTATTCATTAAATACATTTTATTCTTCAGATGACAATCAAAACAAAACACATGATAAAAAAGAGAAGAAGATGGTGGTTCAGAAGCCCCATGGTACTATGGAATACACTGTAAGTATAAATAGGAAGTCTAAATGTTTGTTAATACTACTAAATTTACCTAACATTTCTCCCTGACACATCCTGCCCCTTAGCTGCATCCCTCTTGTGTACCCATTAAGTAATGAAGCTTCTTAAGATCTGTTATAGTTCATTTCTCTTCCCTCCATGTTTTCTCCCTGGGCAATCTCATGTAAACCTGTGACTTGAATTACCTGCCATATGCCAGTGATAACCAATTTTAGGTCTCAGACATGCTTTCTGAGTTGCCTACTCAGCATATCCACTTAGACCTCTATGCTTGGTCTTTTCTCAGGAAGCAGTGGCTCCATCATCCATACTTTTCTGCAAGCCAGAACCTTATCTTTTCATCTTCTTCTCATAACTCTCTATGTTCATTCTTACCTTTTGTGACCATCAAGCAAGTCTAGGCCAGATCTTTTCTATTCTTTCACAGAATCGTGTTCCTTTACTTAATTTATCTCAGTTTAATATTAGTGATTCACTAGAGTTATTATTTTAATGTCTATCTTATGCTTTAATTCATATACTCATGGGGAGACTAGACCCCTTTCTGGTCACCATTGTATTGCTGGTGCTTGCAGGGGGTAGACCTCCATATTATTGAATCAGTAGACGAATAATGCTGTGCTTGTGTCTATTACTGCATCTCCACATTATGTGGCATGCGCTCATCTCTCTCACTTCACCATGAGCTCCTGGAAACCGGGAGCTGTGTCTGTTTATTCCAGGCCTGGCACAAAGTGGACTACTCAGTCATAGATTTGTTTTAATTCACATTGAAATAACATTGTTGAAGAGTGTTCTCTGACTTCTAAGAAGAAATTAAGTGCTGTTGCCATTGCCTGGTTGTGTTCTCCTCATGTATACTTTTCCACTGATTGTTTATGTGCCATGCCAGTCTCTATATAAGGTAGGCAATAAGACCCAGTTCCTCCCTGGCGTTTCTTTTGGAGTAGTAAACCTTCTCCAAGTCTCTGTACAGTCACAAGGAAGAGCCCTGGCACAGCCATTTCATGCACAGCGCTCTGTGAACATCTCTAAACATCTTTCTGTGGTTTATAGGCTTAGTTCTTTACAGAAAGGATTTGGGGTGATTATATATCTCACATTACCACTGTCTCTTATAGTGTTGTTGATCCCATAACACCCAGCACAGTGCCTTACCTAATAGTAGATACTCAAAAAATGTTGGATTATTTGTCATTAATAACAAGATTCTAAAGCCGTGTATGCATCCAGTAGTATTATTCACAGGGCTCTTCAAAGAAATGAGAGGTTTTGTTTGCTAGATGCTTCATATAGCATATATTAAACAATGCAGTGAGAATAAAAATCGACCCCCTAATAAATTCATATAAACAGGTGGTCAAATTGGTAATGCAAGTATGCCCCCCTGTTTCATTTATGTTGTGGAGATTAGTTTTACTTGGTAAGTTATTTTGTGGACTTCATCGGAAATAAAAGATGATTCTTTATTTAGAGAACCATACTAGCACCTACCAGATTGCTTATATTGCTCCTGAGCTGTAGATATTCAATCATTCTATTTAGTTTCAAACATTTAATGATACCAGAATCCCTCCCAAAGTCTGTGACCTGGTTCTAGATGTATGTCTTACCCTTATGTCCTAACTCCAGGTTGATTTCCTCCTCTCCTTAACTCCCTATACACTGTATGTTCTATAAGTTTTTTTCATAAAAACATGAAGTGAATTTATCAATCACTTGCCACGAATTAACTGCTGTAAAACAGAAATTACAATTATCTCTATTTGATAGATGAAGAAACCGAAACCCAGAGAACTTAATTACATGACCCAAGGTCACACAGCTAGCAAGTGGCAGATCCAAATTCAGAGCCAACAGTCTGGCGGTGGTCTGTGTTGAGAAATCTGTCTCATACTGATTCTAAATTCTGAAAACCCTTGCATTTGAAAATATTATGTAAATATCTAATATTGAAAAAAATATATTTTAACACTTTTTAAAAAATTTTTAGTAGAGATAATTTTGTTCCGGGTAGAGATTGGAGCATATTTTGTTGTTTTCAATAATTTTAAAAAATACAGGTATTTATATCCTAATCTGTTCTACAAATTCTTTAAAGTAATTTTAGTATAACCTGTACTTATGAACTTAATTAGCCGAGACAGTTCATCTAGCTGGGTTTTTGATACTGAGGGTACTGATGAGGTTCGTTCTATACCTATCTTTCACTAGTCCACAGTCTCCTGCAGCTGCCTCAAGTCTCCACTTACTTCAAGGCTCACCTGGTGGAGACAGTTCTCCTTATAGAGACAGCCACCAGTCTTGACCCAAGGCTGTAAATGGCAACTTTTCAGTGACATTCACCAGCATGAGCTCCCACCAAGGTCCACCAAACTCCCTGGATAGGGAGTTTCTTGAGATATTGACCTGACCAGAGGCAGCAGACTTTTTTGGGGGTGGAACTTTTTTACTGTTAATTTTCACGTCTTCTCACTTCCCTCTTTATTCCTTGTCCCTCTCTATTAGAGAAAAAAGAAAAGTATACACCTGGGACATATATCACAAGTTTTATAAATACATAAAACTTATTTGACTGACCATGGGAAATTATCATTTTAATGACAGTAAACAACTACTGGTAGCTAATCCGAATTTCTTTCAGATTTCTCTGTCTTTTACTGTATTCATTCATCAAATACTTTCTATATGTCAGGCACTATGGGGGAAAATGACCATTAACAGGCCACCATCCAGTAGCCTATAGTGTAGTGAAGAGATAAGTAGACAGAAAAATGCGAAAAGAGAAAGTAAATAGTCCTATTTTCCTCTCTGGGTGGTACTGTGTGTATGTTTTATTTCTTTTCTTCATACAGTTTTATATCATATGAACCTCTACTCTATATACCTAAGTTGCACCAAAGTAAGTTTAGAAATCTATTAGTGAGCAGCGAAATTGAAAATAAAGAAGCCCAGAAATGGATAACACTTAAAATATTTTTTCTTAAAAATTGGGAATGTATTTACTTTATTTCATAATACACCTAGTTGTATGTAATACTTTTTTATTCATGCGTATCACAAATAGATTAATGTCTATCAAAAGGAAATTTTGTTTCTTTTTGCTTTATATATTGAATCTTCTTTGTTGGATTATTCTAGGCTGGAAGCCAGGACACTCTAAACTCCATAGCACTGAAGTTTAACATCACTCCCAATAAATTAGTGGAACTGAATAAACTTTTCACACATACTATTGTTCCAGGCCAGGTAACGATTTTCTTGTTGAATAATACTTTAGAAATTTTTCATTTATCTTTTATTGACATTTTTAATGCATCACTGTTAGTGCCACAGGATTATCATCAGTGATAATGTGCATTGGTCCAGTCTTTCCTGTCCTTTAGATCCAATAATTCTGAAAGCATCCTCGTATTTGTGAATTGTTCAGAGATGAGTGCTTTGCAAATGATTAAGTTTACTTATCATTAGTTGTTTATGTTGTAGATGTTTCCTAGGGCCTCAAAAGAAGTTAAATAATGTGACTTTCTCTGTAGAATATCATACAGATATTCCTAGAATGTTTAATTTGGAATTCTAAGTTTCAGTTTAGTACGCTTCTGGGGTACATTATGGCCATTGTTCTATTTTAAATTAAGCAGAATTTTTGTTTTGATACCATTTTGACAAAAATAGTTCAGCTATAGGCAGAGACATTCAGTAGGACCATCAAGAAAAGGCCACACAATTATTTTTCAGATTTTAGTATTTTATTTGTTAAACTGAATGTAACTGACAAATTTGTGTAATATTACCACTCTAGGTTAATCCAGCAAAATAATTTTTAAGACTTTCTACATGACAATATGCCCTTCTATCTTTACTTGGAAACTACATTTAGCCAATAAATGTAAATGACACAGTCATTGGCAGATCTTAGCTGAGGCCAAGTTTTCAGTCCCATTCATAGAGTTGCTTGGTTGCCATGAGCACATTCTGGTTTCATTGTTGACTTGCTAGAGCATCTTCCTGCGTCTCTATGTTACAGTGACATTTAATTCCTTCAGGATAGATACTGCTAGTTTTAAGTATAACTTTATTCTGGCAGTGGTGTTATTCTCTGCATTTCTTTCAAGGGCAGCACATGAAGCCAATATGCTATAGTTGGCCAATTTGTACGATAGTGCTTTTGGTATTTATGTCTTTGTCAAAAGGAGAAATTAGGATACTGCCAGTCCCAGGTAATTGAGGGGAAATGTGAATTGAAACTTTTTAAAAATTAATAAATTTTCATCTCTAGGACAATTAATAAATTGATTTCAATTTTGGGGAGGAGGGGATTCTTATAATCTTGCTGCATAATGTGTGCAATATTGTGATTTAAAAGAAGTACATTTTGGTAATCGAATGACCAAAATATATTTCTCATTTATATTTGGTCTTCCTCCACAATTCTGGCTCACAGCTCCTGAAACTCTTGGAATTTTCCAAGTGTTGAGAGTGGTAAAAAAATGTCTTTTGTTATGCAAATGAGGTGACTTTGGAAAGCAATAGGGATGAAAGCTAATTGCCAGTAAAACCAACCATAATATTAGAAGGTTGGAACTTTCAGTCAGTTGTTCCCCTTCCCACCTCCAGGGAGGAAAGAGGTGCTAGAGATTGAATCAATCACCAATGGCCAATGATATAGTCAATCATGACTATGTAATGGAGCCTCCAGAAAGCCCCAAGAGGATGGGGTTTAGGAGAGCCTTTAGGATGTTGAACACAAGGAGATTTGGGGAGAGTGTCGAGCCTGGAAAGGGCATGGAAGCTCTACACCCTTTCACCATACCTTGCCCAATGCATCTCTTCCATGCAGCTATTCCTGAGTTATGTCTTTTTATAATTAACCAGTGATCTGGTAAGTAACATGTTTCTCTTAATTCTGTAAGTCGTTCTAGCTAATTAATTGAAACCAAGGAGAGGGCTGTGAGAACCTCTGATTTATAGCCCGTTGGCCAGAAGTACAGGTGACAACCTGGATTTGTGATTGGCATTCTGAGTTGAAGAGGGTAGGAATTCAGAGTTGGAGGGTGTCATTGGAACCTCCAGTTTTAGCCGGTTGGTCAGAAGCACAGGTGCGAACCTGGGCTTGAGGCTGGTGTCTGAAGTGTGTGTGTATGTGGTAGAGGTGGGGGACAGTCTTATAGGACTAAACTTAACTTGTGGAATCTGATGCTATTTTGGGGTAGTGTCAGAATTGAGTTGAATTCTTGGATACCCTGCTCGTGTCTGAGAATTGTTTGTTGGTGTGAGGGGAGCCCTGCCCTTCATGTTGAACTGGATCCAGGAACCTTTTTCATTGTGGAATTGATGGATAGCAGAGAACCTAGGCGCATGTATTTACTAATTCAAGTCTGAAGATTGTAGTTACTAGAACTTAGTAAAATAATTTAGGGTGATTTCTTATTTTTTTTAGTAAGTCCTAAACAAAGTAGTTTATTGTACTGGATTAAGGTCCAGTAGCCAACAGGAGGTATGACTGTATAAATGTGCCTACTGTGGGGCTAAAAATGCCAGAAATAAGTGCTTCCAAAACTTTGTTTCTTTTGGCCTTGGAGTAGCTATTTGATTTAGGCAAGTAACTTTCTTTTTTGGACTTCGGTTTCCTAATCTCTGGAATTAAGGGTTGGGCTGCATTATCTCAGATATCCTTCTAGTCTTTGTTGTACTGCCAGCCCTCATATAACTTAACAGTTATGTGCTGTTAGTTATCCCAAGACCTGGCTATGTTCTTGATTTGGCTGGCAAAAATAAAGAATTGAGAAGAGTGAAAGTGATTGAGGGGCTTTCAAAAACTGTAGATGATATTTTGCTTTTGAGGATTTTTAAGTAATCTGTCTTGGTGCTTGGAGAGATAGGCATCTCTCTCTTATCAGTAGATCTGATAAGTCAAAACTGGTTTTATCTGCTCTTGTTTCAGAATATTTGACACTCACCTTTCTAGAGAGTGAGTTGATGGTCACCTTGAGGTAGGAAAGAATACTGGTATGGCTGGGTGACTGATGGACCACATATGTTGAAGATGATTTTCAAAGGAGGTTACATAGGAGCTTATTGAACTAAAATCTGTCTCTAGATTTTTTGATGCTTCAGAGCCAGTTTTATGACCCACCTCTGAATGAGTGTAATTTTGGAGCACAGATTTTCAACAGTAATCAGCCCTTATTTTATCTCTCCTTCATGTTGATATTCCCACTTTTATCTTAATGTGTCCTTTGTTGTTGCCTCAATTTTTTTCTGGATTGAAGAGAGATTTAAATAAAGTAAAACAGGGGTAGGACTGGAGGGGTGAATGAATAACAATATTGAACAGCTGTTATATAGTTAGCTCTGAATTCTGCTTTAAAACATTAGAGGTCATCACTTTAAGATTATATATGATATATGCCAAAATGTAGCATGTCTCATTAAAAGGATCATGATAACATAATAGAATGACAGGATCACGATAACATTTCTGGAACCAGAACATTTTGCTGAAGGAGGCTACTTTGTACAATTTTGGAGTATTTTTATTTTTGTTTTTGGATAACCCAGATAGTGATGGAAGAGAAGGTATTGAGATCATTGATATTACCTTGTATAGTTTGTCATATAAGGACCTTACTGCATTAACACTCAAGGCCTGCCTCAAATTAGCAAGTCTGGGTTTGTTTCATTTCTCCCTGACACAGTTATGTTTAGAAGCACACCATGCTTCTCTCTCCTCTATTCCTTCATATCATTAGTACCCTTCCCTGGAAGACTCTTTTCTCTCTATCCAAATGCTATGTACTGTTCAAGGCTTCATTGGCACCACATGCTTCACATGGCCTGTGCAAAATACCCACACTGCTCTCCCCTTTTGTGAGTTTCTGTAGTGTCTACAAGTGCGTTTGGTACCCTTTGCACTGCACATATTCATATTGCTGAATATCGTTTCACGGATTAGTCTAGAAGACCCCAAGTTGCTTATGAGTTCTGTGAAAGTCAACTAGATCTTAGTCATGCACCTAACATGATACTGTGCAGAGAGTAACTGCTCTTCATATTGCTTAGTGGTTTGCCTGACTCTTGGCACTCATCTAGCTTTTCTTTCTGATTCTAAGGTTCTTTTTGTGCCAGATGCCAACTTTCCTTCCAGTACCTTAAAGTTATCATCATCCAGTCCTGGTGCTACTGTCTCTCCTTCATCATCAGATGCAGAATATGATAAACTGCCTGTATGTATGTCTTTCATGCACTGAAGTTCATATTTGTCAAGACTATATTGTGCTACAGAATTCTATATGTTATCTTTTCACAAGAGTTCATCTGAAGTTCCCCCCTAAAGGGATGAAGTTAATTTGTCATTAGTTGAGAGAATGCATTTTATCCAAAAGAAACCTGTTCAGTTCACACTTAAAATATCAAAGGCAAAAACATATGCTTTATTTGCTTAAAAGCATGAAATTAAACTCTCAACGAGACTGGTAATTTATTTATACTACTTTTACTCCTTTTTCTAAAGAATTTGATCCATGAATATGAATTCTTTCATTTAGATTATTTTCATTTAGGCTATGAGTCAGTTAGGACATTTGATGAGCCATTTTTATGAGTTAATACATATGCACTTTAAAAATTTTTTCAGTTTGATTTGGATACTTATATATGTGATATTTGTAAATGATGAAAGATATTTGCCTTTTTATGTTCAAGTTAGAGACAGGTTACTTACAGGAAAGTTATGTGGCTTCATTTATCTAAATAATCTGTTTTGAAAAAAATGCTTCTATTTGATTTTGGAAATTTTTGCTCTCTAAAGGATGCTGACTTAGCAAGAAAGGCCATAAAACCCATTGAAAGAGTCTTATCATCCACTTCTGAAGAAGATGAGCCAGGCGTCGTAAAATTTTTAAAAATGAATTGTCGCTATTTCACCGATGGAAAGGTATATGACAATGTAATGTGTTTCCTTTTCTTGGAATCTATAGAAAACTAAACTAGGTTCCAAATTACCAAAGGCAGACTACATTAAAATATCTCACCCGAAGTTTCAGCTTGAGATCTCACAAGTGTCCATTTTGTTTTCGCTTGTTAGATACCTGACACTTTGCTCATTGAGGGATTCTTTGTGACCCTGGATTTATCATTTTATCTTTTAGTTTTTGGCCTATAAATTGTTAGGGAGACAGTTTAGTTTATGTTTAACAGCAAATGCTGGAGTCAGACTTGCCGAATTTAAATTCCAATTCTGCAACCCACTAGCTTTGAGACCATGGCAAGGTATTTAAATTTCCTAAGCTTACATTTTTCTTATCTGTAAAATTGGAACAAGAATAAAATTTAACTAGTAGGGTATGGTAATTGAAAGAGAGAATTCATGTAAAGAGCTTAGCACCTAACCTGGAAAATGGTAAGTTCTCAACCCATTTGCTGCTGGAGACTCTGGTATTAACAATGTCTTTTGTAATGTGTTTAGTTTTTTGGTTGTTGGTATTTTTTACAAAGAACAAATTCAACTTTTAGTGAGCCTCTGAAGAAAGAGTTATGTTGATATAAATTGAATTCCTGTGTTCATAGTAGAGACTTCATGCCAGGTTCTAAATGATAGGAAACCACATTATTTATATATGGACTTATAACTTTTGCAACCAAGAGTAAGTAATGCCTGAGATGCAAAACTTGATGATCAATCACTTAAGTCATTAAGAGTACAGAACAAATTATTTACCTAATGGGAGCCATCTGTATCCTGCTATTTCTGGTAGATAATATCCTTTATATTATATATCAAAATATATAATATAAACTGACCAAACCTCAGACTTTTAAGTTCCCACCAAAGTGCTGGTTTTTTGCTTCTAATTTACATGAGTCAGCATGTTCATTTCTGGCTGCAAAAACTTCATGTTATTTGTTCAAATTTTGCTGGATTGCTTTCTAAACATGTTAGAAATATTAGAACTATTCTTTGGCAACGTGTCTCCAAGACAGCTGTCCCTTCAGCACAGTACTATACCTGTTTGGACACGTGGTGAATACGTGCTGAGTGAATCGTAAAGAACCCAGTTCTCGATTGAGAAAGCACCTGGGACAGCCCTTTTCATTGTACAGACAGAGAATTGGAGAATAAGAGACATACATGTGTAACCCACGATCTCACCACAATTGTGTTGTAGCAGCCACTGTGCCAGAAGCAGGCTCAGTTGATTGCCACAGTGAGGCCAGGCTGTTCTCTCCGCCTCGTGACACAGTATCTAACATTGTATTTCTTCAGCCTGTTTTTCCAGCCCTCTTAAAGGGGATGTGGTTATCATGTAGGAATCTATGGTTCTCCAAAGTCAATGGAAAAGCAACATGAGTTCATGAAAGCTGTGGTGGTTGCATTTCTGCCTGTAGTTGATTCTGTCCTGCCCATTTTTTCCTGCAGGGTGTGGTCGGAGGCGTCATGATTGTCACGCCTAACAACATCATGTTTGACCCTCACAAGTCTGACCCCCTGGTCATTGAAAATGGGTGTGAAGAGTACGGCCTCATTTGCCCCATGGAAGAGGTGGTTTCCATTGCCCTCTACAATGACATTTCCCACATGAAGATCAAAGATGCCTTGCCATCGTAAGAGACATTTCTTGTTTATCAGAAAAGAAAAGGTCTTGGGAGAATTAAATGCAATTAAAAAATGAGGGCATTGGCAGGAGCGAGAGATCATGTAGAAGTGAATTTGAAGGTGGGAGATTTGTGCACTAAATTGAAAAGAATAGAAAAAAAAAGAAAGACAAAGTCAATGATAGGAAAGAGTTGGACATATAAAAATGAAAAGAGAAAAGCAAACAAGCCAGCACATAGAAATGCTATTTGTTTGGCTTATTTTTCTGAAATGAAATGGATATTCTTAATGAATTTATGAAAGAAGAAATGAAGTTTCTCTGAAAGAACTTTAGTCTGACTACCAGTAATAACGTTCTCCTCTCAGTATAATTGTTAAGCAGAGTTATGGTCTTTATCCAGATTCTCAGGTTGACAGTCTGCCCAACTCATATCCTGCAGAGAGATTCGAGTGGATGCAGCGGCGGCTATGGCCCATGTAGTAGGCCAGGCTGCCTTACGTGGTGGGAAGAGGGAGTAATGCTGGTTTGTTTTGTCTCTGAAATGTAGATGAATATTGCTTTAGTCCTGATTATTTTTTGCCTTGTAAAACTGAGGTGTGCTTCGGGTTGTGCAGTTTGATTTGGGGGATTTTATTTTTATTTTTATTTTTTGTATAAAAGAGAAGGAAGCTCCCCAGGAAAAGAAAGAGGGTTAATGAAGCTCAGGGAATTGATTCATTTATAGGGATAATCTGATTCTTACTGTCGTTTTGTCAGTGTGTCTGTTTCTGCGTATATGCTAGCAGTAAAAATCTTGAGAAACCCTTAGTGATAGGAAGGTAGGGGCAAAGTGGTAGGTCTTAACTATGCAAATGGAAACTGATTCTTGGGACTCATGAAACGAAGGGAAGATACCTAGGGAATTAACCCAGACACAAAGTCCTTAGGGGTTTATGTCAGCATGTTCCCCTGGACTCTTAAAGTCCTTTGCATCTGATCCACTCGGTCTTCGCCCAGCTCCAAGCCACTGAAGCTACTACCAGAGCATGAGCACTGAGGTAGTTTCTAAATTCTGTCAGAAGTATTCAAGTGACAGGGTTCGGAGGCAGTCCTGTTTGGTCATTAGGTCAGGAGCCACACTGCCTGGGTTATCTTGGCTCTGCCACTTAAAGCTTCATGGCCTGCATGAGTTACTCAATCTCAAGCCTCAGTTTTCTCATTGTAAAATGGAATTAATAGTATTCTTTAGCTTATATAGGGCTGTTGTAAGAACTAAGTGTATTGATATACCAAAACTCTTAGAAAACAGTCTGATGCCTAATAAGTGTAGGCTGTTATTATTTGAACCTTTAATTCATATCCGAACTCTGTTCACTGTTTTGTGGGAATCTAGTTATTCATGCAGATTGTGGCTTCAAATGCATCTTAGTTCATGCTTCTTGTGTAAAGCAGGATAAGAAGATGAGCGGGTCTTGGCCCCTGCCCTTGTGGAGCCTGCAGTCTACTGGGTACAACAGGCAGGTGTTCAGAAGTTGTCGTTAAATGTCATTGTATGCATAAAAATCCACACAGCATTCCATGAGAACCATGTGAGGGAGTATTCAACTGCCTTGGGTAACAGATGCAGGCAGAGAAGAGGAAATGAGAAGTTGGTTTTGGAAAGAAGGAATGAACATCGTGTTCTCTGTGACCAGAGGAAAGAAGAAAAGAATAGGTAAAGACATAGTTGCGTTTGGAAGTGGACAGCCAAGCAGATAAGGGCATTTCTTGCCCAGTGATAACTTCTAATGGAGTAAATCTATTACACATCTTCAGCTTAGGTTGTTAAGTATCCTTTTTAATAATAGAAAGGGAAGGTATATCTTTACAGAAAGATTTCTCTCATAGTGAGATTGTGTTTAATGATCCAGGATACAGGGCTCATGCCATGGCTAAGGAAAGAGAAGAGTTAAGAATTGGCTCTTAATGTGTTACAATTATTTCGGAGTCATGCACTGATT